ACACCCTTTCATGTATAGGTAAGGAGCTATGTATGTAAAAATTGAAGTTTAGATTTTAGATATATATAAATACATAAAAATTAATGACGTGTAGGTAAATCATCCTAAGAAAATGACGATTGTATTTGATAGTCGACAACCATCATAAAATTTATCAAAAAATCATGACATAATCCATTTTCAATGGGGCTCAATTGAGAAAAGGATCCATGTGAGACTTGTTATTGCACCTTTTTTGTTTTTGCATCAACACATATTAAGGAAATATTAGATCAGAATTCTGGATGCAATCGGGGTACTATAAGAGAGCGACACGTGTAAAGTGAATCAATCACTGTGTATTATGATGAGTCCACTTTACACTCCCGATCGTAATATTTTCTCCACATATTTTGGTGTGAACACCACCTTCACATAATTATTACAGTGGAAAACGGAGTGTACTAACCTGAGTAGCGAGGATGACGGCGTTGCGGTGGAGGAAAAGCGTCATGTAACTAGTAAGATTAAAAGGTCCGGTGAGCCACCGCCCAGCTGGAACGTACAGTAGACCGCCACCGTCGCCAGAGAACTGCGCCAGATGCGCAATCGCCTCCCGGAAGGCCTTGGTGTTCAACGTTGCACCGTCGCCCACTCCACCGAAGTCCGTCAGCGACGCTGTGTGAGTCCGGCAACTCGTCGCCTCGTACTTCCGCTCCCCAGCCGCCGGTCCACCAACGCCTGCCGAAACTCTACTGCCTGTTTGAAACCGGCATTCCGCTGTGCGAGAGAATGCCGCCATTACTAGAAGACATATCATCGGCAGCATCTGTCACACAGGAAAAAAAATTATACTTTTTCAATGTTTTTTCTTTTCCTGGGATTGTGGAAATAAAGACGAATTTTAGTGGAAACTTGGGTGTTAGGATTGAGAAAGGTTGCATCTTTGGCCGAAAGAATCGAGAAATTTCACATTTTTCCGCCGATAAGATGGAAAACGGAGACAAAACGAGTTGAAAGCATAACTTTTCTTCAAGAAAGAAGACATTTTTTTTTTCTTGTTGGAGCAACAGAGAGGAAGTTTATTAAGCCTCTGACATCTATTCTTGATATTCTGCAACAGAGGAGTTTTTTAATGGGGGAAAAGGAAAGGGAAAGTGATAGCTTCTCCGCATCAACAAAAACATTCCTAAGAGGATTTAAGATAAGAGAGGAAAAAAAAAAGTGATTTCTTTTACGAAAAGGCAAATCTGTAAACAGGAACTATGGAAATTGTGTTTCTTCATCTTCCTCTTTTATTTGAAGGTTAGAGCGAACCAAAAAACAAGAAAAAATTCATACAAATATACATCAACAACTAAAAAGTAATCTGCAGAGTATTTTGGGGACAGATGGATAAATGATTATTACAGAGAAAGTGAAGCTCCTGCTCAACAACTCCATCGCTAACGAGGGAGAGACAGTGGAGAAGAAGTGATGAATGGAGGTGTGGAGTGAAATGGGGAGAGGGGTTCCCTTTATAGCACATAGATTACATTTTAATTTGCACTAATATTGAAAATCTAATCTTAAAGTCTAAAAATAAATTCATGGCCTTTTTATTTAATAGATTATATTTAAATTTAAAGTTTAAAATAAATTTGAAATACTTGCAAATTAAGCTAACTG